TATCAATTATTCCTCTTAAATGTACTTCAAATTAATCTACTTCTCTTCATTCCCATCTCATCATACTAGTACAAATCATCATTATCTCTCACCTTGACTGATTTTCTTTTGTCCGGATTTGGACCTTTCCTGACCTTACAGCCACATACTAATATTTTTAAAATACAGATATAATCACTTTTCTCCACTGGTCACACTCCCACACGGCCTCCCATTGCCCTTCAGACGGGTCAGCCTACATGTCCCACCTCGTTCTGTTTTCTGTTTATTTCCCTAGCCCCCTCGTGTCTACAGTCTCAGCACGTAATTACTGTGAATGACAATGCCAAATTAGAATGGTTTTATATAACAAAAAAATACTATTTTAATTGATTTACTTAATCTACTTTTTAAAAGGTATTATAAATATCTTCTTTCTTAAAATGATTTCAAGAAGTTTTAAGATAATAAAATAGAAAATGAAGAGAGGTAGAAGTGAGAGCTATGAATGATGATGGCTCTCTGCAGCATTTATTTTTGGTTATTGAGGGAGACAGCGCTGGATATATAAATATTTAGGAGAAAATTTCCTGTTTAGAAAGTAGAATAAAAAATAAATAGTAATTTTCTATAAAACTTTGCCATCGTAAAATTTATCTACAACTCTTCCACATACGTAAGAGAAAAGATCTGCTCTTTGAGGGATGATGCAAATACATGCAAATTATGTTCACAGATTAATACTGACATTACCTGTATTTTCAAATATTAATGTACATATTAATTTTGTTAAATTTTTGACATTTAAATACATCAAGTATTTAAAACTTGATGAGTGAAGCTCGAAATGTCAAACCATTTATTTGAAGGTACATCTATATTTTAGCTGTTAATGTACAATTAGGTATTAATAATTTTGAAGTTTACTTCCAAATTCTTAAATATCTGCTGTAAAAGGTGATGCATAGTAGTTTAGAAAAGCACTCTACAGAGTAAGTATTAATGTATATTTTCTTATTTGCATTTATCTGTATTCTAACTATTATGCCAAAACTCTAGGTAACTTTGAAGATGTAGAAACATGTTATAATATTTATGCTTAAGTTTATAATTTAGTTTTTAATTTATTGTTTAGCTTGTTTTCTTAAAGGATTTAGAATTCATTCAAAAGCACATAATTTGTTGAATGCGTACTATGTGTTAGGTTCTATTCGTGGTATTTGAGCATACAGCTACAACTGTAACAAATTTTTTAGCTTGATTGAGTATAATCTGTGTGTGTGTGCACACACATGTGCATGCATGGGTATGGGTATGGGGTGTGGGAGGAATACAGAGTAAATAAAGACAAGTAAACATGTACTCTATTGCTTTAATAAGAATATTGCCAGAAAGAATTGTTATAGTGCCAGAAGGAAACATCAAGAGAAAGTAAGAATACAGACCTAAAAGCTACTTGTTTTTCTTTCTGTGCTAAAAGCACAGCAGTGAAATTTAGTAAGAACTGGGTCATTAATTTTATAGACATAAATATGGTGTAAAGAAGTAAGACATAAATTTGAATTATTGCAAAAAGTTTTAGTAAATAAATATCTCTAGCCAGAATATAAACAAGCGGTCTTGAAAATATGTGTTTTACTTCAGTTCAAGAGTACGTACGGCCTTTCATTTCCTAGAATTTCAGTAACTAGGTAGTAAAATCCTTTTTAAAAAACAATTGAATACTTGTGATTAATTGTCATAGTACATGGTCATTTTGAATTATTTTATGTTTACATTTGAATTAGTTAATTTAAATATTTGCCACATGTCTACTGTGGGCCAGTCATCATGTAAAAGCCCTGGAGAAATAGCAGGGAACCAAACATAAACAGCCTTTCAACTCAGAGAAGTTAGAATCTAAGATGTGTATTATTATTTTTTTTTATAAAGCTCTCCTTGTTCCAAGCATCAAATGATTATCATTAAACCCATGAACGCAATTGCCTTCAGAGTCATCAGTTTGTATTTTACAATAATGAAAACCATTATATTAATTCTTCCTCATTTTTTTCAGGACTCTAAAAATGTGCTTTGAGTACATCATCTCTTTTAAACAAAATTAAAAACTATTTTATTATAATCTTTTCACTGTTTCATTATAATCATTTTACTGAAATTGTATCACATAAAAATAAGTGATGATGATTTTGCCTCTGTAATTTGTAATTAGGTGGTATTTTGTTCATTGGCTATTATTATCCAGTATGGCACCTGGGTTTTCATTTAAGGAAAATGTTCCACAGAGCTCTTCTCTGGGAAAAGCTGATTGGGGTGAGCAGAACGCCCCGCATCAGGGGAATATTCAGTCTCTGTGAGAGACAGTGAAGGAGGGGCTCCTGGGAGTGAGCAGGAGACGCAGACAGGAGAGTGTGCTGAGAAGACCCTGAGACTCCTCTATGCATCACTCAATTCTCCTTCCTCCCTCCCAGCCTCCTACTTCCTCCCCCTCCCCATGACATCTTTGCTACCGATGTCTGCGGTGAAGTGAACTTAAAGGGCTGCCTAAGGAGCTGTTCACTTCAACTTGAATTTACAGTGTCATTTGCTTTGTTTTATCACTTAGGGCTCTTAAATCCTTAGAAGTACTCAGAAATACATGGTTCTTATTTTGTATTCTTCTCTCAAGAAACTTATTTGGAGTAGGAATTGAAATTAGTACAGCCCTTATAGAAAATAGTATGGAAGTTCCTAAAAAAAATTAAAGCCAGAGCAGGTAAGAGATGGAAAAATTACCTGTGGGGTACAATGTACACTATTCAGGTGATGGGTACACTGAAAGCCCAGACTTCACCGCTGTACAATATGTACATGTAATGGAACTCAACTTGTACCCCTATATCTATTAAAATAAAAAAGGGAAAAAATTAATAGTAAAATACAACATGATCCAGCAATCCCACTATTAGGTATACATACAAAGGAAATGAAATCAGTATGTCAAAGAGCTATCTCCTGCCCGAGTTCTAATCGGGGCCAACCCTGCTTAACTTCTGAGATCAGCTGAGATCAGGTGCTTTCTGGGTGATCCGGCCCTAGATGAGATATCTGTACTCCAATGCTTATTGCAACACTATTCACAGTAGCCAAGATATTGAATAAGCCTAAAGGTCCATTGACAGATGAATGGATAAGGAAAATGTGGT